ATTTACCGCGAATATATGCCACGATTTTATAGCCACCACTTAGCACGCGCGTTTGTCGAATGAAATTCAAATAATATTTCTCGATCGTGCTGTATTTTAATATTCTAACTGTCAGTCAATCAAATCGTATAGTTCACTAATTAGTTTGCTATTGCATTTTGAAGGCGTTGATTGACGGAAAAACATTACTGGGCTTTTGAATGCCAATGATTCTTTTGAAATGATTCAAAATGCAAATCGAATACTTTCGATGCGCACGTTGTACGTATAGTGTACCTAAATAGTCTGTAAGTCCAAGGAATGTAAGTCGCTTTTTACCAAAAATAAGCCAAACTGCTTAAAATACATTGGATATAACACCTTTATCTCACCTTTAGTAATTGACTACGTGTTGTGAGATAATAACTTACATATGTCACTGAGCTTTGAATCTCTGCATATAGTGTGATATAAGCCAAGCCCATTTATTAGCGGTTAAAGACTGGGCCAAATCAAGCACAAGGCCAGAATGGATCGAAAAATGCACCGTTGCAATTTGACGTAGGTTTCACTTTAGCACGACGATCATTCTTGATAGATGGCTACAAAGTTGATCGCACTTGTTAACGATCGCCTGTCATCCGGCCAGATCACTGGCGGATATACGGGTACATAAACGTGCATATATGAGACAAGTTATACGACAGACTCTCAACCTTTTAATAATGTGTCGCCACATATTCATATGTAGATAATTTCCCTACTGCCCGATAATCGACCGCTCCACTGCCGCTGTGGGCCATAAATTATGGGCCATGGCAGCTTGACTGCTGTTGATTTTTATCAACGTCATCAGCTTAATTGCCTCACTGTGCGAAGTGGCCTGTTACGAGCCAGGTTCACTTGGCTTGCCTTTGCGAATCTATCTTTGAAATACCCGTACCCACTGCAAGTTACTGATTCGCGATGGAGAGAGTGCGAGCGTCGTGTGCAATGCGGCTGGCAATTACTAATGAAATATGGCTGTCAGTAATTATTTGTTATAAATTTGCATAGAAATTGCAATTTGTGCGCCGCACTCCGCCAGCGAATCACAATTCTCTCGCCCAAGTTGGCGGCATTATTAATGACAATGTAAGCCCATGATAAATATCGTTGACACAGTCATTTTAAGCCATATATACTTATGCACTTGCTCATACGACCCCACGCTAACTAAGTACTAGTTGATTTTAATTCCCATACTCCGCCCTCTGCGCCGGTCATAAACGTCATGGCAATGACTTGGGATTGTCCGGCTAATAAATGGCACTGGATATTGGCCACTGTTGTTACCTGTTAGAAAGTATAACAATGTTTACAGACCGCAAAATGAATCATCCTTAATGAACCAAGCCAAACAGACTTAAAAGTATACTAAATAATCATTGTTTGAAACTGGAATAGAAACTGCCATAATTAAACAGCATTTTCAGCAACTGGACAAAGCAAAAGGAAAACTTTAAACTAAACCCAAACATTTATTACCAAGCAACAATTGTATCGTACAGTATATATTTACATATATGGGAAAAAGAGCAGATGCGGTGGAAAATTGCGCTTTTAATTAGGATAATCATGAGCGAAAATCTGTGGCAAATAATGTGAGCAACAATTTACATTAAACGTGGGCCATTTGTAAACAATTTGTTGCGGTAGCGCTTGGGGTTAGAATCGCTTACTAAATTATACATTTAATTATATTCCATGATTTTTGTTGCTGCCGAACGTTATCGCAACAAATGTGCCAAGGATTCCCGAAGGGATAATACAATAAATGTCTTGTTTGGTCAGTTTTCATAATTGAAATTTTGTTTAGTCGAGCCCAAGTTATAATATATTCGATTAGCATTATCGCATATGTACATGGGCATTAATTTGAATGCATTTGGCAATGAGAAATGGTATGAGCATGGAGGCTAACTTGTAATTTTGCGAGCTGACATCAACAGCCATCCCAGTGAACATTTAGCCCTGGGTCGGCTAATCGTCTGGAGTAATTCCACAACAAAACCTGCAATTCAACATGCATAATTTAGGTAACAAATGATAACTCGAAGAAATGTGAAGCCATGCATAAATTTTGCTCGCAAGTGCCACAGACGGCGACTGCAACTGCAAATGCAACTGCAACTGCAACTGCAACTGCACAGCACATCAGCAGACAGGTAGACATCAAGCAGACAAACTCCAGGCCAAGACAGAGGATTTGCTGGCGAAACTCCTTTGATTTATTACACAAAACCGAGCGAACCGAGGAGCGAGCAGCGTGGCAGCCTCAACTCAACTCTACTCATCAGCAGCTGCAGTCAGCTTTGTCCCTGCCTCATAATTTATAAACAAATGCGAGTCGTCCAAGTTGGCCGAGTGTTTGGTCCTTGTTTGCCACATGGGAGTACCTTCGTCCATCCACTGGACTGGTCAAGATACATGCACACTTGTATAAGCTGGAACTGGGTGTAATGAATGCTCGTAGTTATGCCCTCGATGGCAGGCAGCCTGAATTGATGAGATCATAACGTATGTTATGACGCCATATATAAAGGCCAGTTTTCTCCATTCAACTGACACAAGTGGAATTGAAGAAGTCACAGCATTATGCAAATTATTAATTATGATGCTATGATTGCTACAATCGAAGAGCAGTCGAAAAATCTCTTTAAAGTTTTGTAATAGAGGTAATAAATCTATTGCAACTCGAAAAAGTGCAATCGGGAAAAATAGCTCAAACAATACAGAAACATATGAATTGTTATTGCTAGACTTCGATGGAAAATTACAGAGCTTTGTGTGCAATATTTAATCTATTTCCACTTCTTACTTTTCCATTTTCATGACCACTGTAAATGTTTAATGAATATCTCTGCTGGCCAAAAAAAAAAAGAAAGAGTAGTTGACCGATGAACAGCTCTTCAACAGCTTCGAATCGGAGCTTCAAAGGGTAATTCCGACCATTTTTCGCCCACCCACAGGAAAAGTATGAATTATTCAAATAGAATTGCTAAAATATGTAAACTGTCGTGACGTTTCGAAGCACTCGCCAATTTAATTACAGTTCCATCAAATGCACACACACACACTCCAGGCAAAGGCAAAAAATATTTAAAAATGCATACAGACCATTGAAATTTTTGTGCATTTATATTAATATTTTGTGAGTGTGGCCCTTATGTATGAACACATTAAAATATGAATTATTTAAACCGAATTGCTCTTGAGCTTGTGGATTTTAAAATCAAATAAATGGTACACAAATTACTTTGTCATATCTTATTGATTGAAATTCAAACAAGAATATGACCTGTTTTTTTTGCTTACGTAAAAGTGTTTTTTGTACGGTATACTATAGATTCAATAACTACCGCTCATTAGGTACATTTATCAATACACTTAAGGGCATGTTAAGCCCACCACTTAGCAGTAATAATTATCTCCGTAAGCCTAATGACTAATAACCATATTCGAGCCACACAAAAACAGAATTTCACGCCCCAATGCGAATACAATTTGCACGCAAATAAAAAATGAGTCTACGTATGACGCCCACTGTAGTTCGTTGTTTAGCACAGACATTACTAAACTTATCTACATAATAATTTAGTGTAGTTTTAAAAGGCCTTTTTAGCCAATTGATCTGATACTAAAAATCTGGTTAAACAGTAGGCAGGCACTCGCTTCATGGCGAACAAGGCGATGTTCGCTGTCGGCTGCTCACAACACAAACAATAAAATTAAATAATTACAAGTCGTGAGTGAATTTCACGCGAATCCAAATGCTGATGCACACACTCTGATAATGAAAAAAGAAAAAAAAACAAAACAAAAAATAAGGAAGGAAAAACTGCAGATACCCAAACCGAATATTCGAAAAATGCGCAACGGATGCCGCTTGACCAATGGACATTGCAAAAAGCCTCGCTTTCCGCTTTATATCGATGACAATGTCCCCAAATAAGTGCCAACAACTGAGCCACATTCAAGAGTTGGCAACAGGAGGCACGGGGGCATGTGCAACGCCCTGCCACGCAGACAAAATCATGCCACGCACGAATGCCACCAGACGATACCGCCACCAGTTCCAATACCACTACCAATACCCATACCAATATCAATGCCAATGGCAATACCAGGTCGGCACAAAAGGAGAGTATCCCACTGGATTCCAGGAACATGTTTAAACGATGTCGAGCATTCGGAAAAAGAGTAATGTTCGCCGGCATTTCGACCATGGGTGACAATCTTTTTAGCATAAAATCACAGTAACTACACGATGATACTTCCAAAATCGGTTGGTCGGCGACGAGATGATTTGATAAGTGGTCCCTTTTTTACAAATGCAGGCATTCTTACCTATTCCCAGGTGGATGGCAAGAATGCCTAAAGGGCACCATACTGCTATCAATAAACCTGAAGTCGTTAGAAAATGCGTTGCAAAATAACTTCGCAGAGGAAGAAATGTATGCATTTATGATTACACGAATATTCTAAAATAATAAAAGGCATTGGCCATTCTCTTAAAAATTACAAGAACTTGATGCGACCTGGCGCAAATTTTTGCTTTGCCAGTAAACATTTATTCGATAGACATCTAGAATATCACAAAAGTCTGCACTTATCACATTATTACCCTAGAAATTGTCCACAAACTCAATGAACTCAATTTGACTGCATTAATCTGAGGTGAGCTGGGTAAAGTACAACAGATAGTCAAAAAACTCCTGTTGTTTTATATGACGAAATTGGTTGCAAGCGTTTCATTAAACCCACCACATTGTTGCATAATGTAAATGAAGAATTAGCACTAATAGCGAAAAGGGCCAGCGATGTGGGTCCGTAATTAAGCTTAAGTAAGTGAATGAAAGTCGCCAGTGCGTGCGAATTGAAGTCCCTTGGCAAGGACCCACCGGAACTGGAGAGCGCACCCAGTTTTGAGGTGTTCCATGGCATTGGTCGGCGGCTATAAAAGGACACACCGCATGTGTGGCGCAGCTTAGTCGAATTCCACGAGTCCTGTTTCGTGGACAATGGCCGAGATCAGGGAGGACGACGAGGAAAAGAAGTCGGGCATCAGCATTCTGCCCGGCCCGGAACTCCTGGCCCCACCTGGCTTGAATAACCGGGCCAGCATCGCCTCGGCTGCGTTGAGCGATGTACCCAGTGATGTGATCATCAAGTCTCGCATTCGATATGGTAGTCCTTTGTCGGCCTGCAAGGGATTACTATTGGAGTATGCGAAGAGCACGACCATTCATGGCATTCGTTACATCTTCGAGGTGCACCGGCCGATCTATGAAAAGTGCGTTGCTGGAGCACGGTACTCCTTAATGGCTAATAACCGTTTTTGCTTTCAGACTTTATTGGCTTTTCTTCACGTGCATTTCCGTGTACTTTGCCGTCTCACTGATCTGGGACACGTATCTGAAGTGGCAGGAATCGCCGGTTATTCTGGGTTTCGATGAGACTTTGGTGCCGGTGCACAAGATACCATTTCCCACCATTACCATTTGCCCGGAAATCAAAATGGAACGCAAGGTCTTTGACTATACCAACGTATCGCGGCAACTTTGGGATGAGTACAAGCAGAATGGCAACATTAGCGACTTGGACGAAGAGGAGTTGAGTATTTCAGGACATTCTAAGGGTCACATAGCATAAGCAGCTGTTCTGGGAATCATGTTAATCATGATTTATCACAAGTCCTAAACCCAATCGTTTTCTAATCCACAGCCTCGCTCGCATGGCGGTTGCAATGCACATTTGTGACCCGGAAGTGGTGGAGCGGTTTACTCCATTGCTGTCGCAGCTATATCCGCCGAACGTGGACGTGACCCAAACTCTGATCGACTTGAGTATATCGAAGAACGAGACGGGGCCGTTTTGTAAGTGGAATGGCCGCTTCTACTTCTGCGACAAGATCTTCGATTTTGTGGCCACCGACGAGGGCATATGCTACCAGTTCAATGGCCTGCGACCCAAGGACATATATCGCGATGAGAAATTCATCAGCTATGTTGATCCGGATGTGGTTGACTTTAACAATTACTTCGATACGGCCTTGACCGCTTGGAACAAGATAACCGGCAATTGGTCACTGGACACTGGATTCGTGGGCCAGGGCCAGAATGCGTATCCCCAAAGGACGGTGTTCTCATCGGTGAAGAATGGTTTCTTCGCCTTTCTGCAGGGCTTGCAGCACAATTTCGACTACGATTGCCGCAGTTTCAAACAGGGCTACAAGGTGTGTGAGAAAAACAACTGGGTGTGTATACACCAGTGCGCGGCTAATGTGTAATTTAACAGGTCTTTCTCAACTCCCCGGAGAGTGTGCCACTGACGACGGGCAATTATATCCTGGTCCCTCATGGCGATGAGGTCCTGGTCAGTGTGCTGCCCGCGTATGTCGTGTCCACCGACAATTTGCACGAAATTACGCCCGAAAAGTGAGTGGTTTCGTGTTAAAAAAGATGACATTATATATACATATACTTCACATTTAGACGCCAGTGTCTGTTCGATGATGAGCGATCGCTGCGATTTTTCCGCTCCTATTCGCAGAGCAATTGCCAAACCGAATGCCTGGCCAACTATACGGTTTCCAAATGCGGCTGTGCCAAATTCTGGATGCCCAGTAAGTGCACATTGAATTGACAGAATATGAACAGCATTTGATTGGTTTTGCCGTATAGAACCTATTGGCACTCCCGTTTGTGGACTGAATGACATCCTTTGCTACACAACGGCCCAGGATGAGCTGTACGCCCTTTTGCAAAATCAAACGATGGAAAAGAGTATTGATGAAAGTGTCGACATCACTTGCAACTGCATGCCAGCCTGCACCTCTCTGGAGTATAACTTCGAAATATCCAGGGCCAAATACGATGTGGCCAAAACCATTCGAGCCTTCCGCGAAGAATACGAGCACACAGAGTGAGTATGACTAGCCCACTAACATATAAAAGTAATCTCCCTGATTATATTATATTATGTACACTATTTCCCAGCGCTATTGGATCCCGACTCTCCGTTTACTTCAAGGAGCATCAGTTTACCGCCATTAAGCGTACCATTCTTTTCGGGGTATCAACATTGATTTCAAACTGCGGCGGCATCTGCGGATTGTTCATGGGAATCTCGTGTCTGAGTTTCCTGGAGCTAATCTACTTCTTTTGCATGAGAATCTGCGGCAGTTGCCGCGATCGCCGAAAGCACAAGATACAAAAGCAGAACTCAGTGGATGTACCAGAGGAAAACGCTGATAATTAGTCGGTAGTTGAAAACGCAAACAACTTGTACCATTATGTGTGTAAAGCAAACTCAATTGATTTAAATCAGTTGCAATAAAATCATTGACTGCGCGCTTAGTTCAGTGTTCACTTAAACGAGAAAATAAAGTTGTCCTACATAACGATATATCGCACTCACAATGACACATTCCGAAAGCCTGTAGTAATGGGAGCCCAATTGAGTTTCCAGTTGGCCAGGTAATTTAATCGATTACAAATGAAAAATGCATGTGATTAGCACACGGCCAGTGCAATTGATTTGCTCTAATTAATTGATTGCAACACAAAAACTAATTAAATAACCTATTTATAGGCGTAACGATAAACACATGCACGTAAAGCATTCAATCTGTTTCTGAACCGAATTCATGTGGCTCTTTGTTCTAGCCTTTTCAGCCATATTTCATAGATGTCGAGACCCCGAAAAGGTATATATTAAAGCATAATCTGTTCGCACCAAATGTCAGATCTAATGGATTTTGTCACTGGCCACAAATCATGCAAGAGTATTAAAAACTTCAGCATTTTCAGCATTATTAATATGGCACGACAATAAAAAATGTGTTCGCTATTTTGCTTTGATCTTTGCTTTAGGTCGTGTGGCCGTCGAAAAATGATACAAAACAAAAAATATGAAGGGGAAACGATGGAGATTTATCGCAGACAAATATTTTGCCTTCGAGAAAAGTCACTCAAGAATCTGCATTATGCGTATAGGTTAAGTCTCTAAATTCGTATTCCTGTCACAATTTGTTTACTTTTGAAAGTTTCATATTCGTATATTTTATGATAATTGTAAAAACATTCCATATACCAATTTTATTAGGCGTATTTGTGGTGCTTGCTTGACAAATTGTCGGCACAGCTGTTCGTGTTTAAAATAAGTGGATGGATTTTAGTTAATGACCCTCAAACTTAAATTGTTTATGGCTTGTGACGAAAATAAATTCATATTCGAAATCGCCAAGGAACAACTAATATCGGTACATATAGAAATATTATGTTGACATAAATCAAATGCAGTCTTGTCATGCTTTTCGCAACTACTTATAGGTTTTGGAGCAATGTATTTTCTCAGGACTTGAAGAATACTGTGGAAATTTCCACCTACACCTCATTTAACTTTCAAATACTTAAAGAATGTCTGTAGGATTAGCTTTGCGGAATTTAGCCTAGCCTTTTATTTTGACAAATATATAGAAAAATGTACCATAAATCAAGTAGAACAAAGCACATTGGGCTTCATCAAGCAAAGATATCATTGGAACGCCGAAAAAAAGTCGTACGGACTAAGACATAATAACACACAACACAATCGTACAGCTCATAAATAAATCCCACAAACTACAACGTACTCAGAACGTAGAAAAATGAATGTGAAGCGAAAAATACAAATTAGAAAAACAAATAAATTAAATTCTTAAGCTATACCCACCAGTCAGCCAGCCATTCAACTCGAAAGCGTTTTAAAAAGTATTTTCAAATTAATTTTTATTAGCAGGCGGCTAATAAACAAAAACAAGAGAGAACGGTTTAGTCGAGTTGCTCGACTATCAAATACCTGTTACTTAAATTGTGTGTGTTTGAACGAGAAGTTTTAGTTTTTTTCAATTACGGACATTACATTACACTATTTTTTTATAGTTTCCGATATCACAGCATTCATACGGACAGACCAACGGACCAAAAGACGAACGGACAGACGAACGGACAGACGGACGGACGGACAAGTCCGGATCGACTCTTGATCATATATATATTACTTGATATATACTTTATAGGTCGGAAACGCTTCCCTCTACCTGTTGCGTACTGGTCAACAGTTCTAGTATACCCTGCCGAGTAACGGGTATAATAAAACCAACTCAAGAACCAACGCTACGAAAATACACAAATCTAGATGGGAGTGTAGAGAAAACAAATATTTTTATTATCATGTCGCGACATATTTCAAGGCACATGCTTAGAATAATGCAGCCAGTCGACAGTGTTTAACAAATTCATTTGGAAAATTCGTATTTCTCGCCTTCTCACACTTTGTGTGTCTTTCAATTTAATTTATTAATCGTGCGTGTTCATCCGCACTACATTTGTGGGCGGCTAATGGCTATGGCAACGTCTTGGCCCATTTCATTTCTGTCGTCTCGAAACATGAAATGGTCTCAAAAATTCTATTTCCCCCTTTCCTCATTTGTGTATTTCTCAATAGGAAAATAAACACAAATGTGGTGCAATCGACCAACATTACTCAGCAAAATATATATTAAAACTAATTATTATGTTAATAAGCAGCAAATATTTTTAGAGGCCTTCAATAAATACATTTTTTTAATGAGTGCGTTCTGCTTTCAATTAGTTACTTAAATTTGTAATTTTAATTGCGGTAATTAAAACAGGATTTGCTCTCGATTTACAACTTCAAATTTACTCCGAACAAGCTTTTGACACAATAATCGCATTAATATTAATTTTTAAATTAACAAAATATATGACTCAGCCTTCGAATCCATTCTGCTTATGAGCAAAAAAGAGGAAAACCCAATCAACTGCCAATAATAAAAAAAAGGGTAACATAAAAATAACTAAAAATTTGCATTAATCGATGTCAGTAATGTAATAACGATATACACAAAACCCACAACCAAACCAATGTATTAATAAAAAACACAATTTTTTATGTCATTTCTTGCTGACAGATTTATGTTCATTGGCAAAGTAATAGTTGTTCGTTGATATTATTTGTGTTGCTACCAATTTAACCGAATTCATTTTACGCCTACCTTTAAATTTATTTATGCGTAATCTTATTAAAATAAAATACAAGTGCTATTTAAACGCCAATCAATAAAGCGATTTCTTTTTGATTCAATTAAACAATTCCTCATCAACAGCTATTCAAAAGGTCTCAAAATTAGCGATTGTGTTTTAGGTATTTGCATAATTGAAACTAACAAAAAAAAATCGAATAAAATAAGATTCACATATTTATAATTTAATGCGCATTTATTTTACACCAACGGCCATTAATATATGTCAAACTGGCGAATAAATCAATTTGACAGCTAAACGCTGCTGTTGAAAGACAGAGAGGCAAATAGAAAGACAGTCAGGAAATGCGGGTAAGAAAAGAGTTGTATAAATCAAATGTAAGCGAAAGCTTACACTTTACTTTTAAAAATGTGCTCAAATGTCAAACATATACTAATATTATATTAATATATGCATTAAAAAATATAGTTTTATGCCTTTAAATGGTTTTATTGTTTGCTTCCAATGTAGTGCTTATGTACATAATTTGAGTTATTTTCGAATTTTTGTTTGCAAAGCGGCTAAGATCTGTTAGTTAACAAGGGTATCATGTGTATTAGCATATGCATTGTTACCCACTTTGCACACAAAGTCTACACATCGTACCCGTCTGTCATTCATACCCTCGAATGCCTCGCCACTCGAGACTGTCTGTCAAATGCTGCGATTGATTGATTTATGCATGCATTTAACTTGTTTTTCTGATTTTTTCATTTCGCTCTCTGAACAGATAAGCATTAAATGTACTTATGTAGCTAAAAACTGCTTAAGTGTATCTTTGCAGACAATTGATGGATCACATTTTGCCTGCCACTTCCGTTTCAGCTTAACGAAAAACTGCAAGTTAAGTAATTATCTGTATTACAAATCCAGCATTGCTGCATAAATTGCAGTTCTAGGATAAAAAACCCAAAACATGAGGAGTTACCAAGTTGAAAAATACGTCCCTGAAATATGTGCATGACTAATAATAACTAGAGCTTGAAATCTGCTTACTGATTTTTTGTGAGTTTCTATGTGTCTGTGATTTTTCTAAGTGCATTGCAAAGATCATTTGAAGTGTATAGCGCAAATCTTGGAAATGATTTGGCTCTGCCTTGGGGCTCAGCACTTAATCATAATCAACTGTCGCGAAACTTCCAAGCCTACCAATCTGGCGACCTACCTAGCTACCCACATTACTAACTGTTTTTTTTCCAGTGGGCCAGCTTGCCGTGCGACTTCGTCGGAGTCCCATGAGCCGAAATAATAAAAAAAAACAGAAAAATATAGGAAAAAAAAAATAAAGAAAAAATGAAGAAAACAAAATTTAGAGACAAAACCCAAAATGGAGGAGAGCTGTGCGCATAAATCAAAAACGTTGACGCTATGATTATGGCGGCATTGCGAACGATACGATTTCCAGAGGCCTCTGAGAAAAATCGTGCGCAGAGGTGTTACAGCACTGACACTTATTCTATAAATTATGACAACTGACAGCTACATTTATAAGCCACAACTCTTGCAGTCGTGCATAAAGAAAATCGTTGACGCATGCCAACAACTAGAAACGGCAAATAGCCGAACAATAATATGGCCAAAATGCCAGCTGATCGGGGTGGGGAGCTCCAGCTAATTAATTTGACCGCATTCAAAATGTATGCAAGGCAATTAACTTAAATATGGTCGATGGTCAGCAGCAGATAAGTTCAGACCAGGGAAAATTCTCATCAAGCAGCAGTCTTTGTAGGAAAAACGCATTCACAGCCACAGGGAACAGGTAAAGTTTAAACTGTTGTCGGTTCGCCTTATCGCAGTAATCTACATAATTAGCATATAGCCATTTGGGTGGTGGGGTGTTAGCCAATGCAAATAACTTTACATCGATAGCTGGCCAATTGGGGCTAAGTGGCTGTCTATACGCAAAGAATGATGCTTGATTAAGCCACACATTTAAGAAATGTTAATACGTCAGCATTAGGATACAAGGCATTATATTTGAGAGGGATTTAATCATATTTTAGATGACACATTTAATTAAATGGCTCTTATTATTTTATACACATTAAGCCCCTGGCACAAAGAATATGGCAGCCTAAGGCCAAAAGACGTTAAACTCCTCACCATTCCTGACATATTTGGTTTGACCTTATTCTCTGCTCAATCAGTGACAAATATTAATGCCGTAAACAAATTCGATACGAAGGCACTAAAAATATATAATGAGCTGGCGAACAAAGATATGGCATTTACATATCCATAGGCGGAGAAGGTGACAAATGTATTATGGCGCAACATAAGGCAATTTACAAAGGCTTTAAT